GAACGGATTTTTTTTTTTTTTTTTTTTTTAAACCCAATTGAGCACTTTTGGCCTCGAAGATAAAAAAAAAAAAATGTGTCCATTCGGATGGATTTACACTTACATGGGTCAAGTGACCCAATTATGAATCCGAGCAGAATTGGATGTTTGGTTTCAACGTTGACAGAAAGTACGGAGTCGCTCTTTCTACACAATATTGGAACAATGAAATTTCACTGGCAAGACACCAGTGCGAGTTGATCTGTTTTAGTCATCAGGTCTCATGGCAACAGACGAAATTTTGACAGAGACGTCAGAAGGGTTTCAAACATGTAAAATGATATAAGATCTCATTCGGAACGCCAGACTGATGATGCTCGCCAAGGTTGTGCTAGTTCGGATCTTTTTGCGAACGCAGGGCAATGGGATAAGGCACCTGGCTTCTGTTCCAGACTGACTTCGCGAGTCCACCTTCTCCAGAGAGAGTCCTCGGCCCCCCTTTCACACTGCATGTCAAGGTCAGCTTTTCCAACACGTGTGAAAGGTACCGCTTGGGAATCGGGGGTTGAAGGCGACTCCCGAATTTGCTGGTTTCCGAGTTGGATATCGAAAATGAATATTCTTTTGCATTCCTTCATGATCATTTTCATCAAGAAGGTTTCACACCGACCCTTTTCGTGCTGTCACTGGTTGTTTTTCCGACTTTACGTTGACCGGTGAATTTGGTGGTATTGTAGCGGAACAGCAGAAAACTAGGACCAACGTGTGAATTTTTGCACCCACTACTAAAATTTCCCATCATTCTGTTGCAAGTAATGGTCATTTATGAAAAAAATTTGTGAACCTGAATATTGTCGGAAAAGATTCAACCAAAACCGTCAAAGTTTTTTTTTTGGTCTACTTGACAGACAAGGGATTGAATTTTTCATTTTTACATTGCTCATTTTTGGACTCGCGGGAAGCATGACGGGAAGTTGAACACCCAAAACGGGAAGTTTAACACCCTGTTGGGTGTTAAGCTTCCCGTCATGCTCACTTTTCCAAGGAAGGCACATGCAAAGAAATCACGTTCCATTGTTAGAGCTGTGACTCACCGATTTTCCGAAAACCGCGTGAAAGGGGGTTTTGCTGAATCAATGCTAGCTCACATAACATCACCTTGTCAGGACCTTTGGGGGCACTCACTCGCAGTTGCGGCGGCAGACATTTCTGTAACTACGGCGATGCTAGCTGACCCCAGCTTCGGGCCCGCCAGAAGTGCACAGTGCAAAGCCGTCATCGGGCCAAGCCAAACATTTTAACTTTCATCAACCAAAACAAAACGCTTTCGCCTTTCCTTTCCCTCATTTCGCCCAGTTCCAAAATATTTTTTCACCCGAAATCAAGCATCGTGACGACATCCAATGGTTTTTGTGTGTGTGTGTGTGGGGGGGGGGGGGGGGGGTTCTCGCCGTTTTGTGCTGCTCTTGCAAAAATTCTGCAAAAAAAAAAATCCACTCCCATAAGTCGCCTCGTCTTTCTGCTCGTGTGCTGATTATTTTACTTTTTGCCTTTTCTTTCCTCCTAAATGTGTTATTCATCCTGTTCAGCAAGTCTTCGGGCACACTTCAGAGCCCAAAATAAAATAAACAACCCCTCCCCACCTCCCCCTCGCCGCTGCTCTTGACTGCATCTACCTGGAACAATAAACCGCTGTGTTTCTGAGCTTGTTTATACTCATCTCTAGACATTGGCGGAGAAGAAGCACAACAGGAAGTGGACGGTGCATGCGTACGGAAACGCGACGCGCCACCGCCGAGCGTCGCGGTGTTGATGAACGCAAGCAGACCATGATGCTGGACTCCGTGTCTGGTACCGAGGAGGGGAGGTTTACCTTGGAAGGGCACCAACCATCTGCATGCTATAAGTACTCGATCGGCAAGGTGACATTGAACGAATCAGACAAAAAAAATAAAAATAAAAATTTAAAGTAAGTTATACATGTCTAGTCTAGTCTAGTACCGGTGCTTTCTAGCCTAGTATCGGCGCTTTCTGCTCATCATTTACATGTCCATATCGTGCAGTTTAAGATCCTTGAGTCGTGTATTTTGCCTTGACTTATAACCCTGCTGACTATTCTTGTTGCTGTTCTGTCAAATAAAATAGCACCGCTAGATTTATGTCCAGCTAATTTGTACATTGCCGCTCTCCTTCTGCTCACTCGCCAATGAGGTACGGATGAACGTTTTTGATTCTTCCGTATTGTTGTGTGGGACCTTAGGCTTATTCTATTGATTCTGTTTTAGCATGATAGTGACCTTTACGGCAAAACGACATCACATAGCGTCAAAGCGCAGCTCGGGCTTTGGCGTCTGTGGCTGTTTCCGATTTTGGCCAATTAGGTTTGGTTGGCTTGAAGGGTCGAGGCCCACACACGAGCACATGATGGTTTCGTCAGCTTTTACATCTTCACCAATAATATTCCCAGAGACGCACGAACGTCCCCCCTCCCCGCCGACTCACCCCCCACCACCACGATCATCAAGCTTCTGAGCTTGATTGCTTTTCCAGAAGGATGTGGTAGTCGCTGGCGAAGCAGCTGCTTTAAATAAAGTGACAATTTTTAATGGGCTTTCAAACCTCAGCGTCATCGCGTGCTGCCAACTCCTTTGCGATGACATGCATCCGATCTGCACGTTTTCTTAATCAAAGCGGACGCACAAGAAGCCGGTGAGAGGGAAAGCTCTATATATAGTAGCTTCGTACATGCAACCTATCCGGATAGCACCGGCGCTGGATGAGCTTTTATTAGCGGGGGACAGCTGAAGCGGACAGACGAGAGAAGGCGATATTAACAGTTCAACGCAATTACAGTCCTATTTGCTCCATTTCTCAATGGGGGGAGCCGCCAATTTGGCAGCAATTTTTGCAGGTCGGTGGCTGCTAAGTTATCATAATGAGCGCCTTCATGTTTTCACACAGTGCCCAATGCTCCGTTGCGGTTTTATCCCCTGACAGTTTCAACACCCCCCCGCCCCCACCATCACCACCACCAAAATCATCCAGCAGGAAAACTGTCATCCCAACACTTTTTGTAATCATTTACATGAGCTGCTTTTATGCTGCCAGCGGAGACAGCGGTAAGTGGAGCCGTAGGCAGCAAGCACAAATTTGACAATCCCGCATGCATTCGATGACAACAATCGCATGAAGGATTTTGGTGCTTTTCAGATGTTTTTTTCTCTCATACTTTGTAAATCTGACAAAATAGTTTGAAAATTGTGTTTTGGCCTTTCTTTTTTTTAGGTAATAAAGGGGTGCTTTGAGATAAGAGTTTAATCGTTTGTATTGTGATAACGTAATCAAACTGAACGGAAAGGAATAAACAGTTTGTGCATCATTATTAAATCATTGTGACTTGTTCTGGAGTGTCTGGTTTGGCCATTGAGCAGTAGTATAATACAGTCATGCAGACAAAAACTAAAACAAACAAAAAAACATTTTTTGCAGAGGGTAATTGAATGTCATATTGTCTCTCTACATGAGCTGCTGCACCGTTGGTGCACCACGACATGGTGGCTTCATGTTAACCAATCCACCCATTTAGAGTTAGCATTAAACTAGCAGACTTAAAGGCAAAGTTATGAGATTGTTTTAAATACACAACGTGTTGTGATCTTTGTTTTATGTTTAGTTTGACAGGACACGAACTGGTGGCATTAAAGAGCTTTATCGGCTAAACTGCGGCTTGTTGTGAAGTAAGGTGTGTTGCGTTCACTGCCACCGCACAGCACTTGCATCTAAAGTTTTTGTTCACACCCCAAAATGAGATTATAATATATATATATATATATATATATATATATATATATATATATCATAAAAATTACCAAAAAATGTCTTAATGTTAACTAGCATCTCATGAAACTCAAAAAAGTGAGGTCAATTGTATCTTAAAGCACCATATATATATATATTTTTTTTTTTATTTCCACAATTGTATTGCTGTCTCCTTGTTATCACAAACTTTTCAGAGCGTTCATTAAAATTCAACCGTCCCATCCAGTCTGCTGTCCAATTAATGCGCCACTCTGTGCCGTCTATTCTCCATCACTTTAACCTCACATCTCATCAAATCCATAAAGGTCAAGTCTTAACAATGTGACGCGAGTCATTTTGATATAGAGCATGAGCGCGTGACAGGCAGTGACAAGGACAGACACTTTAAACATAGCCATCATCGGCCAAATTATCACGGCACGCGCGCATGGGGACGAGTGTGTCGAGGGATAACACAAACAGGCCTTTTGTGCTCTGCGGCATTGAAATGCATGCGGAAAAGACAAAAAGGAAAAAGAGGCCTAAAAGTTGTTTTTTGACCTCACACATGGAAAATAAATACACCCCGCCTCTCCTGGGGAGGAACGAGTGTGATTATTTATGTGAAAAATAAATACTGAAACCTTATCTGGGCGAATGGTCGCAGAATGCTGACTCCAATACATTTCACCTCCAGGGAGGTTCACGTGTCTTGAAACGGGCTTTTTTTGCAGAAAGATTTTAGAAAAAAAAAAAGTTTAAGTTTTAATTACGTTACCTCTTTAACCACAAAAGAATCAAAAACTTACACGACTGGTTTAATATTAAATCAGAAGTGGATATTTTCCCGGAGAAATCAATAATGACGCAACTGGTTTGACGGCAAGTAAAGAACAAGAGATGAGCAACATTGCCCCCTAACGGTGACATTCTGACAAGCACCGTTTGACCTACCAATTTTATATCATTTTGGTTATTTCATTCATTTTGCCACAAGAAATGCACCTCTTTTAAATGTAAATAAAAAGTCAAATACGTTGACTTACCTTGTGAGTGAAATGTGCTGTGCCTTTTGCCTAAATATGGATTTAAATGCACTCTGCAATTTCCCACATTGACAAGAATGCCTAATTCACAAAATTGCATTGAACCACACACAGTATTTTTTTTTTCACCAGCATGACTCATAGACGTCTGAATAAACAATATAAAGCAAGACTCACGGGTACTTCTGTCAAGCCACTTGAAACGCACGCCATTGTTCAACCTGCCGAGAGACACAAACACGGCGTCCTTGTAAGACAATACTGTACTCGTTTAAAAGTTGTGCGGATATTGGCTGAGAAACACAAACACGGCGTCCTTGCAAGACAATACTCTTTTAAAAGTTGTGCGGATGCTGCAATAAATTTCTTTTACCTTTTCTCTGTGCAGTCAGGTACACTTGATTGGCAGCCATGTTGTGGCGGTGACTCGGTTGCATGCAGCCAAATGCATTCGGGCTTTGCTTTAACACAAGAAGAGGCCCAAAAATCACAATCGGGCTGCCACTCGATAAAAGTATAAACATGTGTGATAATTTCCACACTCTTCACTTGATTTGGAATCTTAATACTGTCAAATTAAAATTCTGAGTCTGCAGTTAAAGCGCATCTTGAGCGTTTCATTTTAAATCCATTGTGGTGTTGGACAGAGCTGGAAGCGCCCAATTTTAAAAAATATATATATTTTTTAAATATTGGATGAAAATGTTTTGTATTGTAAAGAAAAAAAAAGTGTATTTTGCAAGAAGGCTTTTTTTCAGCCCCGTTGCTCCCGTTATCGATTACAAGTTATTACATCGATTAAGCGTCTCACAGAGTATCCACTTATGCACCACTTCGGGTCATGAATCTTTCATTTCGCTGCAGAATGCTCGAGAAACTCCTTCAGAACACCAATCACTGACTTTGAGCAGTAATATAAACATCCGGTGCATCCCTTATTTACATTGCAGCCAGAGCGGCAACCGTGTGTTCAACATAGCAACTCGTGTCCACTTGAGCCGAGTTGAATCAAATTTTTCCACTTTCAAGCGAAGCGGCCCTTGAATCGTTGCTACTCGCACTTCTGCCGCTCTTCCCATGCGCCGCTAATGCCCATCACATCCACTTTGGTGTCCCTCGGCGGTTATGCAGACACAGGCATGTTTTTGCACAAAATGTGTTCATCACCAGTCAAGTCTTGCTCATGCTTAAGTGGTTACCTGCAAACCATCCAAGATGCATCACGAGGTGGCTACGTAACAGTGCTTGTCTTCAGGCATGACATAAGTAAAAGACGTGAGGGTATAATAGGCATGTTTTTTTTTTCTTTTTGGCGAGAAGCACAAGGCAGCAATTACAAAGAGGCATTTGATTTGCCTGACTTTAAGAAGAACACTCAACCAAACTGTTCCATTCATTAACTATGATGGGGCTTTTAAATGTAATAGCATGTCAGTAGGCCATACACAATACCAAGAAAATGCCCCCCCCCTTTCTTTCTAGCGCTAATCTTTTGCTTCAGGTCACAGATGAATGTCTTTGATTTCAAACGGGGTGACATCCTACTGGCAAGATTCTACCTGTCATGTCCGTCGTGTGTTTGTTTTGTTCCAGTCTCAGCTGGAGTGAAGGGCATTTCCCTCCAGCAGGACCACCTGCTACTTGTTCCCAAGCATTTCAGGAGTGCCAAGTTGGCTACTCTCTGTCGGCTTATAGAGGGCTCCGTCCTTTTAGCAATTACCCACAATGCACTACCGGCGGCCATATTGGAGGGCTGTTATAAACAAGCCATACACAAGTGGATGGCTTGTTTATACACGAGTGTATGGCTTGTTTATAACAGCCCTCCAATCCAATATGGTCGCCGGTAGTGCATTGTGGGTAATTGCTAAAAGGACGGAGCCCTCTATTGACCTTGTTCGCAGTAGTGTCATTTTCTAGACCTTCTTGCTCATGTTCCCGGTCAGTCTTGTCCGTTTAGATTCTGGTTTTGCAAGTATTTTTGTTATCCAATTTTTTTGCTGATTTTTGGATACGCTTATTTGGACGCGTGTTTGTGTATTTTCTGGTTTTGCTGTTTCTTAGCCTTTTGCAAGGGCTTTCTGTTCATGTTTCGGTTTCCTGGCTTTTGTCACCGGCGATATCTGTTCGGACTTTGTCGGACCTTCGTCCACGAACTGTGTCACCGTCAGTAAAGGTTGCATCGGAGACAAGACAGAACACGTTTAACGGGATGCTTGGACAGAGGGCGTGAAGTGCATCACTCATTACTCTCGAATGTAAAAGTAGCCCCTAAAAATGACTAAATTTGACTAATTGAAATGGCTCGTCAAACACCAAGCTCTAATGAGTTTGAAAACGTAGCGCCCACAGCCCGTTTAAAGTTTCAAAAAGAAACGTGGTCGGGATGTCAGGATGTCAGTATTGTCATCAGTTGAAAGGCGGTATTAAAAGGTCGACATCCTTGGAAAAGGTTGTCACAGCATCAAAAGAGCTTTAGGATACGATTGTGGCGGATGTCATATCAGCTTTTGTTACGTTCCGACCCCATTACATTTAATACCTCCATTGGAAAGGGGAGAGAAATGCTGGTTTCCATGGTGACAGTAACAGGGGTTGGGGAAAGGAAAAAAAAAAAACACCAGTCTCATGTCTGCCCACAAGTGATGCTAAAACCCGAAAAGGTGGGGAGACATGGCCCTATGAAGATGATTCACTTGACTGCCCGCCGACGGCCTGGCGACAGCTGACCGTCCAGGAATTACACCTGGCCCGTAACGCAGATGTCAAAAAGTTTTACGGCTCCCAGTGTTGTCTTTTCCGTGGAAACCGGTTGCCGACCCTTGGACTCGACTCAAGTGTGTACAACATTCCGGCTGGAGCGAATCCTTTCAACTACAAAAAAAAATATATCTATAAATACCTGAACTGAGGAATGAATTTGCTTGGCTCGATAATGGTTCAACACAACTCACCTAGTCTACAACCAAAACAAACTATTCAGTACCATCATATAGCGTTCTCACTCACGATAAAAGTGGCTTATAAACTTATCCACCACAATCTGAAACAATGTGTGCACGGTTCTTTTACATTTCTCAGACTGAATCCAACTCACCACGCGCTGCAGGAGGAGGAAGAGCAGATAATCATCTGGCGGTGATTGTTGACAAATTGCTGCAAGTGTGAATTGGCCTGCCCTGATTACGCTCCCCCTCGATGAGAGTGACGCGTTAACATTCGTGATTGACCCAAGAATCGCTTTTGTTACTTAGTCAGGTCCAAAAAACTCCAAAACGTCATTGCAATACATCTTTTTTCAATTTCTGTAAGGTAGTCGAAGAGCTATCACTTGAATTTCAGCAAAACTATTGATGGACTGAGCTGTTGATGGACTGTCATGTTTTTTTTTTTCAAATGACTTGGCGGAGACTCGTGCCCGGGGACCGTCAACAAATGTCAACCGCCACAAGAAAACGAACCCTTAAAAAACAATCACTTCATCATTATCCATTGTCGCGTTTCTTCAATAATTACACACATAGATCTCCAGCTGGTTGCAGTACAAAGACATGTTTAGAGAAGAGTTTGTATGGATACAATTTATTTAATTTTATTTTCCAAAATGAGGGTTGTACTGCAACCAGCTGGAGAACTTCTGCTTGTTGTTATTGAAAAAACACGACAGTGACTTTGAATGTGCCAGTCTTTTGCCAACTTTACCGGACTGAGTAACAATAGCGATTCTTGACAAAAAAAGAATGTTGCATTAAGAGTACATGCAAGTAAAATGTAAACATTTGACTTGAGTCAGTCAGAAAAACGATCAAATGGAATGGTGGTATGTGGTTTTGTTTTTGCATCGTTTCCTCAAATCCAGTCTGTGTTTCTTGACAGATGATTACCATTAATATGAATAATACATTGTTTTTACAGAGAGCTTTTCCAGAGTTGCAAGACGACAATAAACTAAAATTAAATATAATTTTGTTTCAGAATTGCTAAACGTCCAATATCTTCAAATTTAGAATTACTTCAAAAGCACTGCAAAACGAAAACAAACATTTCAACGAAATACACTCATCTAACATGGCTAGTTTTCTTCCGGTATACCGACTGTTCACATTTGACACTGACATGACATGATGAACTCGGCAAACAGCCAAAAGACACTGGTGTCCCTTGAGGCAGTGAATTAAGGGCCCCTTCTGCACTGCTGAAGCTTCCATTACTCGAGAGAATTTGTCTCTGTGAAGACAGAAAAGCGCGCTTGTGTTCACAAGGCTATGGAACAAGGAACCGTATAATTCCCATCGCTGCCCTTTAAAAATCGCAGATCAAAACGGTTGCAAATCTCACCTCCGCTTGCTTAGCGAGGAAGGTGCAACATGTTAACAAGCATCACGCGGCTTTTGAAAGCCACCGCCTGTTCGTTAACAGCCTCAAAAGCCTCCGGGGGGGGGCATAAAAAATGTCAAGTATGAGTGGTGTGATTGCCAGCTTTAGCTGTACATCTACAGTATATAAGGTCCCCCCCCTCTCCTAACCCTGGGTGACTCAGAGTGTAACATAAAAATACTGTAGCATCTGGGATTTCATGATCTGCGACCGACTGCATGCAGTACAGAAGAAAGAGTTCATTGAAAGATCTAAAATGGACTCTAGTATTTCTGTGTCCGGTGTACGACGTCGCTAGGCTAACGCATAGCAATAAAATTGACAGCGTCAAACTCTTCAAAATATATCTTTTAAGGAAAATTGAGCTTCGGAAAACATAAAAGACAACAACAAAAATAAAATGATCATGACAAGCATGACAATAAACGGATGATGAGAGTTTCCACAAGTTCATGACGGTTCGGCCAACGTCATTCCTCATTCGCCGGGGAGTCGAACGGACCAAGAGACAAGAGTACTGTTGCCGAGTGGTTCTCGGCGAGTGCATAAAAAATTTTCCATCTCCTCCGGCTCACTGCTCAACATGCTCAAATCAATCAAATAAATGTGAAATCAAGAATTTACTGCTGCTAATCATATTTTCCAGTTCATTTTCACTGATACCACACAACCCCGATGACCTCCAGACACGTTCGATCAAGAAATCGGCTAAATAGAACGTCTGGCAAAATGAAGTCAGCCAATAGATTGCAAAACGCTCCAACAAAAAGCCATGAGCCAAAAGAAAGTCGAGAGCAGATGAAAACCCTACAATTGCTTGTTTTTCCATCCTGAGGCAGCTCTCTGGTTTTCACATTGGTTACACTTCATTGGTATCCGATAGGATCCACGTGCCTCGTAAATTATCAGGGGCTCAATCATGAAACTGCACCTTGAAAGAAAGCGAACCGTTTTCAACTCTTTAGGTGGGTCAATAATTCGGAAAAACATGACCACAGTTGTGGACTGAGATTTTGGCCTGACGCCAGCGGCTTGTAATGCTCAAATGTGAAACCGAGGCATTCAGTGCTCGCCAGGTAAGATGACAGCTGTTCCAATACTTTTGGAGAGCAGTGTAGTTGTTTTTGTCCTTGTTTGGCGGAAATTTTCCCCATTATATTTTCTTAGAATTTCTCAATTTTGTCCTTTTTTTTGCTGCGAAAGCCGGGATTTGAAGATTTTTTTTTTTTTTTTACTTCCATTAACAGACTTTACTTTCTGGACAAGGAACATACCTTGCATCATTTCACCTTTTTTTATCTTTGGTATTTTTTGTATGGTCACTTCAGTGACATCACGAGTTCACGGTCTCCATGGTGACGCGTGCTGCATTCAGGCTGCAGTGGGGAAGGTAGGTGGAAAGCAGCACATATGGACGTGACAGCATCGCACGGCAGATGCGCGACTTATTTTCGTCTTCTACCGCCAACATGGATTCTTCTCCAACGCCGCCTATGTATGACCACTACCGCTCCACGCTATCGCCCAGCATGGACATTGGCGTCGGCACCTACCTGCTGTTTATAAGTAAGTTATTTTTTATTTTTATTTTTTTCCAGATTTTGACACTTTTATTTGTGGCTTGTTGATGATCTTCAACTCATTCCGACTAAATTAACCAATCAACTGATGCAGTCTTGGTAGGTTTTGCAGAAAGCATCAGCCAAATACTCCTAGCAGGTTCCATTTGAATATTGATGAAGTGTATTAAAAAGCCCCCGAGGTGGGCATAATGAAAGAATAATGGACGTGCAAAATTGTAAAAGCCACCTTTGGAATTTCCTATATGATGTTGGTGAACGGCAGATGTTTTAAAAGGCAATAAAAAGGGGCAGGGGTCTGGTGGTGATGATAAAATGCAGTTTGAGGCTTCTGTGGCGACATTATCTGTCAAAAATGTACTCTGTTATAATTATTACAATTCACTTTAAGACAGGAAGAACTCGTGCGCGTGTCTGGTTTAGGAGATTGCGTCTGCAATCTTGCTGCGCAATTCATGGAGCGCGTTGCAGAAGGAGGAAATGCAAAGAGATGAAACAAATGCGATTCATCATTCATGTCCAAATTTGCATCTTCCAATTGCTTGAAATTAGAGAGAAAACATTTTGAAGACCCATCAAGTCCCCGTCGATAAAATAGGTATCATGTTTCTCTTTTCGTCACATGATATCCTGATTAAAATGAAAGACAACAAAACTGAAACAAAGAGAAAAAGATATGGCTTTAACGTACACAACTTTTTTTGCTTCATGTGGATGACAAAACTTTTCATGACTTGGTCCCAAAACCGATTCTCAAAGTCTCTTTATCCAGAATGTGAAGTTAACAACTGGTCGACTCGAATAAAGATTTTTTTTTTTTTATGTGCTCGCAGCCGTATTCTCCATTGTGGGCAACCTACTGGTTCTGGTCATGGCCTTCAATCGTTCTTCTCGCATGAAACCTCCTGAGCTCCTGAGCGTCAACTTGGCGGTGACGGATCTCGGGGCGGCGGTCACCATGTACCCTCTGGCCGTGGCCTCGGCCTGGAGCCATCGCTTCCTTGGGGGGGACGCCGCCTGCCTCTACTACGGCCTGGCCGGCTTCTTCTTTGGCGTGGCCAGCATCATGAACCTCATGCTCTTGGCCATCGTGCGCTTTGTAGTCTCCCTGGACCTACAGTCGCCCAGTAAGTAGCCGGAGCTTTCAAAACACTCGTACATCCTTTTATTTGAGTTTGAGCGACTGAGACGGTATCAATGATTGATGGATGTGATGTTATCCAGAAGACAAGGTGAGCTGGTGTCAGATAAAGCTTCTGTGTTCGTGGTCTTGGCTGTATGCCCTGCTCTGGGCTCTACTACCCGTCCTGGGCTGGGGCCGATACGGTCCTGAGCCATTCGGACTGTCCTGTTCACTGGCGTGGGGCAAACTGAGACACGAGGACTCTTCCTTCGTGGTGGCCATGTTCTCCTTCAACTTGGCTCTGCCGGCAACCGTGATTGTGTGCTGCTACTTTGGCATCGCCATCAAACTCTACGTCACCTACAGAAAGTCAGTGGGACATGGGCGACGCGTATCCAACGTACTCAAGCTGCACCGCAGGCTGCTTACGGTCAGTTTTGTCCAGATCGTTTCATACATTGGGTGCCTTTGTTTGCATCGGTAGTTATCCAGCACACGTTCGACAAGCAGTTAGCTAGATAATTATGCCTAGCTATACCCCAAAGATGCCGCTTTAGAACGCCTCGTTGTCAGCCAGGAGGGCATATGTCACTGTGAGAATGGTGAAAAGAATAATAAAAGCCTTACTTGACAACCAGGGTAGAGAGCACTGCTTCGCATAGAGCGCCTCATTGTCACGGCATGTAAAACTCCTGTGGGGATCACAAGAGGCTTCAAGTGTAAACATGTTCACGGCTCACATTTGCAGGCTTTAGAAAGATGCAAAATGAAAAGCATCCTTTTTTCCAGGTTGTTGTAAGGGTGTTTGATTGACAGTTCAGTGGAACGTGGTTACAGCACATTCAATGGACACGCCCACAGCAATCAACACTGTTTACATTTCAAGCTTATAAAGCCTCAACTTAAATTTGGGCTTTGGAAAAACTCTTGGTCAAACTGTATCATGCTGACTTCTACGCTTGTATAACACTCGGGGCCCTCATCCTGTGCTGCAGATGGCGGTGGTGATCAGTGTGAGCTTCATCATGTGCTGGTCTCCGTACAGCGTGGTGAGCTTGTGGTCCACCTTGGGGCCCGGCAGCCCCATCCCACCTCAACTGAGTCTGCTGCCCTGCATGTTTGCCAAGAGCTCCACGGCCTGCAACCCCGTCATCTACTACATTTTCAGCCAGAGCTTCAAGCGCGAGGTCAAGAAACTGGTGCGGTGCCGGTCCGGATGTTGTGGCGGCAAGGACGGCAGGGGTGCCAGGAGAGGACGCGGAGGAGGGGAAGAGTCCTTACTGGGTTCCAAAGTTGCCACGGCTACCACGGTGGTTTGAAGGGAAACTAAGAACTGGCGGCAGCTTGTGTTCAGAGGGGACAACCAGAGCACAAGCAGTTCTTTTTATGACATCCCTAGTGAGCCAAAAAACATCAATCACTGGAGTATGAATCAATTTTTGGTCATGGTGTGTTATTTTTGGTCAAGGCTTTCAGCCCGAACGTGACAGAACTGGACAATGGCGAACAAATTCCAGTCGGCGACTGACCCTTGCAGACCTGTCGACTCGCTGCACCGGAAAAACTGTGACCTCTGGTGTTCTTGGAAAACAATGCACTGCATTGCAACCACTGAACGAGAGCGAGAGAGAGAGAGAGAGAGAGAGAGAGAGAGAGAGAGAGAGAGAGAGAGAGAGAGAGAGAGAGAGAGAGAGAGAGAGAGAGAGATTTTTTTGTGTGTGTAGTCAACACTATTGCAACAAGTCAAGTCAAAGTCAATTAAGTACTTTTTTTTTTTCCTTACAGTACAACCGTCCACAATCACGCACCTGTATCACATGAAGACATACCAGCATCAAATGAAATCAAAACAAGTGATTAAGGATCCAACTCACCATTACGCTGAATGCAGTTGTTGTAACGATACTGTAGGAAGTCTTGTAGATGTTTCTCCTTAACAGGTAAGTCTTATGTGGATCATAGCACAGTGATTCCCAGCCGGGGTGCCGTGAGAGATCATTAGGGTTGCCACAGGGAATTATCTCAAAATCGCAACTATATCTTTGTTCTTTCTTTGCCTGTGATGTAATAGAACAGTCAAATGTTCTTCCAAAAGAGTGCAAAAAGGTGCATTTGACCTGGTGCCATTCATAGAATTCCTACAAATATCAGTGTTGTGTTCCGTTAAGCAGGCCGAGATTCCACATCTTGTCAGTGATGAATAAACTTGAGATGAGATCATCGTTTCACTTTTCGTGATTTTTGTGACATTTTTGTTTGGTGGAATGGCTCAATGAAGGTTGAGAAACACTGCCATAGCATATACTGTACGACTCTAAGATGGGATCATAGACAGGCTCAAAAAAGTTGAGCATTTTACGTTTTGGCGATGTAGATAGGGTTGCCAGCTAATCACAAGACACACATTGACAAACAACAATTCACGCTAAGAGGTTCAGTTGACACCGCAAATGCTCCTGAAGCATTTAATTCATAAAAATATACACAATATCCAAATATGAATGATGCAGAGTGATGTCAAGATACTTGGAAAGGCAAATGACAAACATGCTTCTAGTCACGATCATGATTATCGCCAACATTTGAGAGTGGATAACATTTCACACGTTTTTGTCAAAATGTCTTGAAAATGGCAAGCGGAATACGTTGCCTTTCTAATGTAAAAAGCTGGCCTTTACATGGCTTGTCGGATGTTCTCCAGGCTCTTGTGAATGTTGTCCACCACGTCCACGGCGGCCTGCGGGATTCTAGTGCCCGGCCCGAAGATGGCGCTCACGCCACTCTGGTACAAGAAGTCGTAGTCCTGCGTTTTAAACAGGGTGCCCATGTTAATGTTTGCCTTCATTTCTTTCTTTGTTTTTTGTAATTTATAAATCACAATTCTTCTGAAATGTGTTTCTCGGAAGTGTATTTCTGTCCTAAATAGCAAACCACAGTATATTATTTTGTCATTTAATTTACTTTAAACTTCTATTTTATTTCCACTTTTTATTCCAAATTTGTTCCAACGTCATCTTCATTTTAAATGTACTTTCTAGTTTAATTGCAACTTGAATGAAACGTAATTTTATTCCAGCTTTGACGTCTAGGCATGCTAATTGAAATTTAAATGAAACTTAATACTTTAACATGTCAAAGGCAAATATTTTTGAGTATTAAATCAACCGTAATATTTATTTGAAATTGAATTTTTACATTTTATCTTCAGTTTAAATTCAATTTAATTTCAACTGTGAAAATAATGCTATTTTAACTTATAAATAGAACTTTCTTGACATTTCTTTTGCTTTCTAGTCGACGCCTTAATGGTGGGAAAAGTTTTGAAATGATTTACCTTGGTTTCATTTTTGTTTTGACACCACACAAACTTAGCATTGAAACAGCCGCGTGCAGACTTTTTATATCAACTGTACGTAGCCAAGCTGGCCATTACCTGTGGTGGGATGACGCCCCCGCAGATGACCAGGATGTCGGGTCGCCCCATCTTGCGGAGCTCTTTGACAAGCTCGGGCACTAAAGTCTTGTGGCCGGCAGCCAGCGTGCTGACGCCCACACAGTGTACATCGGCGTCCACCGCCTGCTGGGCCACCTCCACCGGCGTCTGGTGGACAGCGTCGCAAGTACAGTAGTCGGTCACATGCAATACAATTGATGATGATCACATTAAAAAAAAAAAAAAAAAACACTGGTCCAAACCTGAAAGAGCGGCCCGATATCCACATCAAAACCAAGGTCGGCGAACCCGGTGGCGATCACCTTGGCGCCTCGGTCGTGGCCATCCTGGCCCATCTTGGCCACCAGGAGACGAGGGTTCCGCCCTTCCTGGTTCTTAAATTCCGCCACTCTGTGATCATGATTATGGGATCAACATTCTTTTGTGATGAATGAATTTATGCTTGCGACTATTCTCCGTGTGCAGTACCTGCTGAGCGCCACGGCGATTTCTTCATGCTCGCCGTACTCGCTGCGGTACGCGCCGCTCACCATGCGGCTGCTGGCCTTGTGCTCACCAAACACTTTCTTCATGGCGTCCGTGATTTCACCCACAGAACATCTGCACTCAACAAGGGGGGAGGGGGGGGGGGAACAACTCCGACATCTTCAACGAACAACAGGCTATACGAGATTATTGCATGGTCTTATTTGTTCAAATCCTAAATACAAACCTGGCACGTGCTGCCTCAACAGCCAAAGCCAGCAGGTTTCCGTCTCGAGTGCGGGCACACTCCTCGATGGCAGCCAGACACTTGTGGGCGACATCCGTGTTGCGACTCTCCCGTACCTGTCACGTATATTGTATTTATTTTAATAATAATTAGATTGTTTTTGAAATAATATTTTAATATATTTAAGCTTATCTTTACCTTGCTATTAAAGTCGAAAATGTTAAAATAATGATACATTGTTGTTTAGAACCTTGCCTTTGTTTTAATAATATCTAGTTGTATTTTTTTGTATCATTAATACTATTATTATTTCATGACTCTCAATTATGGATTTTATTTTAACCCCCAAACATTTAACAAAACTAAAAATAATCATATTTGAGCCCTTTGAAAGGCCCTAAAATTAGTCTTTATTAAAATAATAATAATAATAATAACCTTAAAAGTGCATTTGGCATTGTTCTTACCTTCTTCAACTTTTCAATCTGTTTCTGTCGGACCAGGGTGTTGTCGATGGCCAGCACCTCCACCGTCTCCTCCTTCTCCAAGCGGTACTTGTTCACCCCGACGATGACCTCTGACCCTGGGGAAGGAGTTTCCAAATGTCATCAGTTGAAAAGATGGAGGCTTGACTGGTGCATGGAAACATTGATGATGCGAGCATTAGCGTACGTGAATCGATACGGGCCTGTCTGCGTGCTGCGCATTCCTCGATGCGGAGCTTGGGAATGCCCTCAGCCACTGCCCGGGCCATGCCCCCCATCTCTTCGATCTCTTGGATAAACTGAAAAAATAAAAAATAAGAAGCAATGTCTTACTTATAGTCTCGACTCAGTCGTGGTAGCGAATAGCCAGGCCAGTAGACCGAGAGAAAGTCCATTCAAAATGGCGTAAGTATACTAATATTTGGGCCGGATTTGAGCATTTTCCTCCTATTTTAATCAAAATCTGCAAAGGATTGTAATTTTTAATGAGATTTGTCATGTAAAATATAATTTGTTAACGAATTATAGAGCTTCAAGATATGATGACGTGTTTGTACTGCCTCGCGTTTCCCACGCACCTTCAAGGCAGTGTTGTAGAGATCGTCAGTGAGTGACTCCATCATGTGCGAACCCCCCCACGGGTCGGCCACCTTGGGGATGCCCGACTCCTCCTGGATGATGATCTGCGTGTTGCGAGCGATCCGGGCGCTCTTCACGGTGGGTAGACCCAGGGCCTCATCGAAGGAGTTGGTGTGGAGCGACTGCGTGCCTCCGAAAACGGCCGCCATGGCCTCAATGACCGTGCGGATCACGTTGTTGTACGGGTCCTGGGGACAGTCCTTTTGTAAGACGTGGCCTGGATGGGAATTTAACTTCCAATGGATATTTTAGCATAGGCTTTTGTAAAATAAGCGGGACTGATGGCGAGCGACTTACTTGCTCCGTGAGAGACCAACCAGACGTTTGGCAGTGAGTGCGTAGGAGGAGGGACTTGGCGTTTTGCGGCTGGAACTTTTCCCGCAGTAACGTGGACCACAGCTTCCTAGCCGCCCGCAGCTTGGCGATTTCCATGTAGAAGTTCATGCCGATGCCCCAGAAGAACGACAATCTGCATATTTACAAATACATAGGTACAGATACACGTGCATACATACAGCATATATGATAGATGGTATATATCATAGAGGTTAAAAACAATTTCAGATTTGATTAAAACGTTAAAAATAAATGACCCAAAATATTGAGTTTGACGAAGGAAAATAAAGTTAGATTTTTTTTTTAATTGCAAAACTGACTAACTAACTAAAACAAAGGAACATTTGGTTGATTGTGTGTCCCTGGAGGACCGTCTAAAAATGAAATGGCCCTTGATAAGAAATAGGTTCACTGAACCTGCAGTAAATATATATATTTTTTTAAAGAAGAAGATGAAGTCAAAGTCTTTCAAGTATAGTCTATTGAGAACAAGTTGTCTATTGTTAGACGTTGTGAATGGCATGTCTGTCTTGGGTTGCCTGCTGAAAGGAGAAAATGGCTTTTGTGAGAAAGCCTTTCATTGGACGTGACATCTGTGAAAAGACTGCATCTGCCGCAGCGTCACTTGACCCTCAAGTCGATGTACCGTTGTTGCAATTACTGAATGGCGGTGCCAGAGCACACTTGGGAATGAAAGCAATTTCAAGTGAAAGAATTGTAACTTATGTTGGGAGCATCACCTTTGCACTGGGACGTACCACTGCAGCTGTGCAGCAAGTTGCGAACGACAGTGAACGTAAAATGACTTCCAACCCGTAAAAATTGCGCTGTGCCATTATTTCACCTGGGAGCAAACTCGTCGATGGTCAAGCCAGCTTTGAGTCCGGTGCGACAGTACTCCAGCCCGTTGGCGATAGTGTAGGCCACTTCCAAGATGGCGTCGGCGCCCGCCTCCTGAAGATGGTAGCCGCTGATGGAGATGGAGTTGAACTTGGGCATGTGCTTGGAAAATGACAAACCATGAGCATAGACAGCAGGTGGGTTACAAAGAATAACTTTGGAATTGTGAAGTGGTATACAGTAATCCCTCGTTTGTCGTGATTAATGTGTAAAATTTGTAACAGTACACAAAAATGCAAAATGCATTCGTCACGATACACAAGGGTTGACTGTGCTTACCTGGGATGTGTACGCAAAGATGTCGGCGATGGCGTGCATGGAAGGTTCCGGTGGGAAAATATAGGTATTCCGCACCATGAACTCCTTCAAAATGTCATTCTGAATGGTTCCGGTGAGCTTGGCCTTGGGCACACCCTGCTCCTCACCCGTCACGATGAACATGGCGAGTACTGGGATGACGGCTCCGTTCATGGTCATGGACACGGACATCTTCTCCAGCGGGATGCCATCAAAGAGCATCTTCATGTCCTCCACCGTGTCGATGGCCACGCCCGCCATGCCAACGTCGCCGTGCACCCGCGGGTTGTCCGAGTCATAGCCGCGGTGCGTGGGGAGATCGAAGGCTACCGACAGGCCCTGCTGCCCCGCTGAGATTCACATGGGAAAACGTGAAAATGAACATACTGGGATTTGGTCACAAAATCTTTTACATAGCGGTATATAATTAGTAACTTTCTTGAATATTTTTTGATCCTGACAAAGTCGTGCTCCACACTTCAACCCATTTATCAATATTATAGTGTAAATTAGTGGGATGAATATTTACTTTGCAAATCAATTTACCGTGTTTCCCCCTCAATCTTCTACTTGCACCCCTATAAAATGTCACGTTTTGAAATGTTTCTATTTAGATTTTTTTTTTAAGTAAAAGTCACACTTCAAGTGTTCAACCCAACCTTTTTCTGGTAAAAAAAAAAAATTCAAGGACAACACCTTTTGTCACACCCGCATTAATGTCGGGATGTTTGACCTCGGGTCTGCCCTACCTTTGATGTTATCCTTGTAAAATTTGTTGCTCTCTTCCACGGTACTGAATCCCGCATACTGCCTGATGGTCCAGGGTCTGCTGGTGTACATGGTGGGATAGGGCCCCCTAGTGTAGGGAAACACCCCTGGTAACTCGTCCGCACTCGCATCCGAATCAGCCTTGGTGTACACCGGCTTGATGTCGATGCCCTCGGGCGTATGCCATATCAGGTCCTCCGGGTTCTTCCCCTTTAGCTGCTTCTTGGCCAAGGCGGCCCACTGTGGGTGAAGCTCCACCTGGTCCCGACGCGGGGCCGAGGTGTGGATCCCACAGGCGTGGAGTGGCATCCGGGCCAAGAGCCGGGCGGTGGTGCACGCTCTGTGTGCCGTTAGCATGGTTACCCTGGGCTCACACGTGCATGGATGACCTGAGGGAGGTAAACCTGAGGGTGAAATAGCAGCATGTTTTTATTACGTATTTATTATTTCTTTTGTAGAAAAGTCCTTTTCTGTAAACAACAGGTGCCAAAATACTGACAGGTGGCAGAAAAATACTTGACTACCACTTTAGGAATTAATTTTTTTCATTTTCCGAAAAAAAGATATTCATTTGTAATATCTATCTAGATTCTTTTTTTGTAAATGTAGTTGTTGTCATGCTCATCCTAAGTTTCTCATTTGAACACGTAGGCATGTGTCGTTATGTTAATAAATGGCCTGCTTTTGAACATTATATTTTCTTTTTGGTTCTTGACTTCTATAAGCAATGTGACCTAGCATTTCCCAAGCTGACAATAGTTGAAAATAATTAACATAATAGACTACAAACGCCATATTAGCATGATGAGCTAAAAGCTAGTCGAAACGGTTATATCTCAGAGACAATAATACAACTAAACGATAATGAACACGTTAACCGGGACATGAACGTAATCATGTCTATTCGTGACAAACGGGACAATTTTAAGTTTAAGTCAGTAAAATATTTTTTTTAATGAGAGATAAAAAGTTAAGCTAGGTGCAGCGGCGACGAAGCTAACGGTGGCCAACCGATGTTTTTGACATGTTGCGTCCACAAAATGGAGCATTTATTCGTGTCGTTAATTTTATGGCACATCTTTTGTATATATTTTAACATTTTCTGACCTTGTTTATTCTTCTTGTGGTCCTTAAAGGTTGACAAAAGGCGTGCGTGCGTCCATCCAATGGACTCTCATGACTTAGGTCATTAGCCAATGAAAGAGACGGTGAGTGTCTGAACTAAAAGCGGAAGTAGCTAAACGTTTCCGCTCCAGCGGCCATATTGGTGCGGTATAATATAATACAAATTCGATCTGAAAAACGGAAAGATGCTGATACAATTTTTGAACTTTTGAGTGTCGTGCGTTGCCAATAGTGTCTATCTTAAGGTTATTAATAGAACATATACAAAGTAAATATTTGTTAAATGTGTTGTTTGATATGTAAAATATGATTTTTTAAAAAATATTCTTCTCAGGCAAATATTTAACACAGGACACATTGTGGTTAACATGCCATTTTAATTCCAGAACAGAGTTGGTCAACAAAATGGTAAGCAGCAACGGTTCTGTACGCCATGAGACCAGGTTGACAAGAGAAAACGCGCGTGCAGTAAATGCTTTTTATTTGGGGGGGGGGGGGTAGTTACAAATACATAGCTAACTCGGCAACATTTTCATGAGCATTCAGTAGGACAAACCCTGATTAAAGTGCCGATGCAGTCAGGTCAGTAGTTTGTGTACGCGTTATGTTTATGTAGAAAATAATCAGTCAAGATGCAGGGACTTTTGTCATGTGCTTATACTCAGTTGCTAATACTGTAAGGCAGTGAGTGTTTTGATTGCAAAATAGTATGAGTTAAGATGCATTTAAAGAGTAAATGGAACAAGAGAGGGATGGCGGTGGGAGGGGAGTCAGCGCATCAAGCAGGTCCCTGTAAAAATGTTTCACTCCAGTTTGAGGAGCTCAACATCAAAAACGAGTGTGGCATTGGGAGGGATGACGCCGGGATGGCCCGTGAGGCCGTAGGCGACATCCGGTGTGCAGGTGAGCTTCACTCTCTGGCCCAGGCTCATCTGGGGGACAACAAAAGTGTATTTTAAAATTGTCAGTCAGCAAGTGTTGGTCCAAGCTTGTTTTTCTGTATATGTAACACGTTAATGGCCGGTCTAACAGGCGGTCTGACCGTCCAATCATTGAGCGCCTTTTTGTGATACACAGTCACGAAAATGTCTGCTCGACATGTTAATCGGGTTAATTCGCAAGAAGCAAAAAGAGGATTTCCGTGAGACACAATTTACATAAAAGCAAATGGAAATATTGCAAAATCATTATTCCTCTAGCATTTTAGCAATTCCTTAAAAAAAAATCTTCTGTACTGTATTTAAACTTTGAAAACTGCCTTCTTCTTACTGTGCAGCAGAGGGGGCTGCTGCACTAAGCCCAAATTCAGCTCAGATCAAATTCTATGAAATCCTCCCTTCTGTTAATGATTTAAGAACACAGTGCTCTTGTTATTCATTATGCTGCCATACAATCAACCAACCACTATGGGGTTTGTTTTGATTGACAAGAGGCAAGTACCCCTAAAATAAAACCAATCTATGCTTCTATCCGGAGTGGCTGGTGCACGGAGCGTGTTTACAAAAAATATAATATAAATATTCAGTTTGTTTTCTGACCTGAGCCACGCCTTCTTCCCAGCCTTTGATCACCTCGTTGCGTCCGATCTTGAATTTGAAGGGCTTGTTTCTGTCTCGGGATGAGTCAAACTTTTTGCCATTCTGCAGCATACCTGTCAAAAAGACAAAATCATCATTTTTGGCTGAGATTTTCTAACGAGGCCTTTTTAGGATTTAGTTGGACAATCTGCAGCGTGACAGTGAGTGCGGGGTAGGAGGGATGTCTTTACAGGATCTTGCGTGGGTTTCAATTCTCCCAAATGCGCAAAGGTAGAGTATGAATCAGGAAGCAGGTGGCCTGGTTTATTGGATTATTTTTAAAGTTAACAACTAGGGCGTCGCTTGTCAGCATGTCGAGGGAGAAAAGAAAAAAAAAAGAAGTAAAAACCCAAATGGGATAAAAATGTCAGATATTGATTCAAACCATTGTTCTGTCAATGTTGTTTTACATCGCTTGTTTAACATTAAGGTAAGAAGACTTTCCAAAGGCTAAGATTTAAATAGACAAAATGTAATTATATTTAATTTGACAGTAAACTTCAACTGGGACTGTCAGTACACCGCTTAAAGCCTCTTGTGGTTACGACCCCTTAATTTATGTGAGTCTGTGTTCACTCTGCGAGTGTGAATAGTTGGGGTTCTAAAGACGTTGTGTGAACGTCACACTTTAACGCCATAGCTGCGTCGCCTCTCTGCTTTCACCAGCCGTCTAAATTTAGCGGACAAGGAAGTCACCAAGTCCAAGCAACAGCGGGCCAACACCTGCCATGGCGCATCCGCGAGTACAACCTAACAGGGACGCCCATATTTTGCTTGACTTTACGGGTGTTATTAATTACAGTAGGCTAAAACTATTAAATGATTGTGCATGTAATTTTATTCCACTATTATTACATATTTTCGATTCATTCTCTCCCTGCAGCTGGAATGTAACTCACACGATGTCAATCCAAACTCTGCATTATTATTATTATCGCTACCATAGTACTGTATTATTTTTTATGCAGTCGCTACCGCTATCTGCTCTGGGTGCACGGGCGGGGTGGTAGTTCTCATCCCTTCCGGATCCTGACGCCGCCCGTTACGACTCTCAAGAGAAAACTCCAACCTATTTGGCTGCGTCGGCACAAAAAAGGAGAGAAAAAAAAAGCTGAAGCGCTAACCGAGGGCGGGGTTATTTTTACTCCGCCATATCCTGTCGCGCAGTCATCTCACCCACCCGCCCCTCATCCGTCTGCCTCCCCCACACAGTCTCAAGAAGCTGCCAGCATGACACTCCCGCCTGCATTAAAAAGGGTGGATCAGAAAAAAAGCTGCATGTCAGGCTTCATGGCTGAGCTCCCACTGCAGTTTACACAAATGTCGCTTTGGGTGACTGGGAGGACTTCATACAACAATGGTGGGAAAACTGCGGCCTGTGGTCCGTATAAAGCCCGCAAGATCATTGCATCCAATTGTGAAAACCAAACGAGGTGGTGCAGTGAACATGAGGGACAAGATGTCTCTGCACACCACATCAAGATGAGCGCTTGTGGGCCCTCTCGTCTGCATGGAAAGCGATCTATTTTGCATAGATGCCTGCTTAACTCAATTCCCACTTAATTCCCATGATGCTCATGGAATGTTTTCAATTTAGAAAATCCCGCATCTTAGCTCCCCACAGAAATGTACTGGAAGCAATCCAGGCATTTAGCGTCCATTTTCCACCTACTGAATCGCTTTTTGTACCTGATGTTGTGATCAGTGAGCGAATCATGTGAATAATAACAACAGATTAGTTTGCACTCTTGAACTCAAAGCTCCATGTACAAGCCTGAGCAGCTTTTCTTAAAAATGTCAACCACATGACCGCTCGCTCGCCATATTTAGGAATCTCTGCCACCCGCCCGAGTCATGAGAGGGTCAGCTGCGCGCCATGTAAGCGAGTGTCTGCTGTGTGTGCGTGTCTGCGTGGTTAGAATCCCAATGTGAGGATCACAAATAGCCACGTCCAGTGTTCCCATTGAGGTTGGGATGAAGTGAGGAGATTGGAATGTGACGTTTGCTTCCACTGAAAAAAAAAGGCCACAACAAAATACTTTATGTAACAAATAGCCTCTTTATCTTTGCTTCTATTTAGCCAGCAGGAAGCCTCGGAGCGCCTAGCATCCCAAATCTATGGCTAACTGCTATCACCAGACTTCCTCCTCACTGGTATCTCAATTTGATCTCTGCCCTTATAAAACAAAATGAGGGCCAGGCATTAACCCAGAGAGGCGGCATGGACGCTTACACACAACTACCATTTTGTGTGTTTTTTTTTTTGTCAAGATATCAAACTTCACCACAGTGCTCCACCCACACACAATGATGATGACAAATATTTCTCACAATTTAGCATTGTCCATCTGTCCAGTATATGCGGGTTAAATTTGGTAATCAGGTAACAATCACACTAAATCTCTCGGTCAAGTTTGTCTTTGAAGGACCTCATGAGTTAGCCAAACTGACCTTAAAACGAAACATTTTCACGCTAAACGTGGCTAAAAATGTGAAGTTGCTCAAGCCCTTATCCCACTGAGCTGCGAACAATTACCAGTGATTTCAAAGGTAGGGACTGTTGCATTCTCATCGGGGTTCGTTCAAGGTCGCAAATGTTTCAGGGGGGTATTTTCAACTGTGAAACTTGCCGACTCGTAATTTTTCGCACGTTAGCAGTCTCCCATCTGTCTTGAATCGGTGGCAACATTAACCCTCAAATGGTCACTTCAAACAAAAATGGCTGACTTCCTCTTGTGTGTTCCAAACATGGCTCCTTCAAACGTTTTGTCCGTCAACTCGTGATGGACATGCCAACCCAATTTGACGCTGCTCAGTGAATCCGGCTTCAGGGGGCTGAGTTTTGAAAGATCGGCCAGAGTTTTCATGCCAGCCATTTCCCTTTCGCAGAGTCGAGAACAGGTTTATCGGCCTATGGGGTTTGTCTGGCTGAATTGGAGCCAGCAGCGAGCAGCAGGATGATTTAATGAGTCAAAATTGGGGCGGACATGCAGAGTGAGAGAACGCGGAGGATGTGAGTGACGCACACCAATGGAGACATGCAGTCAGTAGGGAGGGAGGCGGACATGGGGGTGTTGAGACCTTGTTTGGGAGGAATGCAGCAATGACACGAATGGCATTTTTTTTCCTTCTTTGGCTGTTAGACCATCATACGGGGTTAAATCATTAGTTCTTGTTAAAGTTACATAATAGTTCAGAGAGCATCTCAACACGGCGACGTCTGTTTATGACAAAGCCCACGGCAGAGTGGCGAGGCAGTGTTTTAATAGCCGCATCATAAACCTGCTGATCTGCAAATGGGACTGATAGCAAACCAGCATTGCTTTTTGTTTTGTTTACTTTCTGTCTGACCTACTTGTCTGCGCCGAACAAGCGCCCAAGGCACGCGTTAACCCAAATGTGTTTCCCCCGTGTCACAGCGGTGCAGTTCACAAAAAAATGGTCTGTCTGAACAAAAAAGAAAGGATAGCATGAAGTATAGACATGCTGGACGGCCAATTGAGGCCAGCATGGGATAGCATTGGGCTACATCGCCATGGGACCACACTCCACCAGCTACCGGTCGTGATGGTAGGTCGACTGGTTGGGCACCGCTGCACTTGAAGGAGCCTGCATACCACATACCATGTAAGTAAATGTGGTATATATTAAATTGGAAGACCATGGGACAAACTGGAGCAGCAGGACATAACATGGTAAAAAAAAATAAAAATAAATACGATCACATGAGACCATAGTAGGCAAGCATAGGACAATAAGTGAACAGATGGGATAACAAAACACCACATGGGACAAGATGTGACAGTACTTGGGCAACGTAAGACCATGCAGGGCAACATGAAAGGGCATCGGACAATACAAGACCCTATACAAAAATTATTACTCACTCACCTATGTAATGAACCACACACGTCTGACCCTTCTTTGGAAATGTGCTTCCTAGGGGACACAAATACATTACACTCAAAAAATTGCAGTTCAACCTTTGCACACGCTGTATCACATATTTTTAATACTCTTTAAAAGCATTCACCAAACAAACCTTTCGGACTATTAACACTTGCGCATTTGTTACAGTATTTTCTGATGTGTGCGAAACTCTTCAATTAGACATGTGCACCTTTGGTGTAGTACGCATTGTACCACAACATGACGCAGTCTTTTTTAGAATTACATTTTAACTTAAGATGAAGAGTGACTGTATTATTAGCAATACAGTAAGACTAACAGGGGCCTCCAGTAAGTATTCACATTTTGCCACCCAGCTCAACAACGCACCTACACAATCACCAGAAGGATCAGCACAACAAATTGAACTGAAGAGTAAAATCCTGCATGATGCACAAACTAATTAATTCTTTACATTCTATTTTAATTATGATATTACTCTGTTTCAGTACAATATTCTAGTACAGTTTCCTATTTAAATAGAACACGTTACACTATTTTTTGTTGGGCTTATTTTTTAGGAAGGCTGGAACAAATTAATTGAGTTTTCATTCAGTTCGACGGGTGAGGATGATTTGAAATGTTAAACGTAGCTCACACGAATAAAGACGATAAAATGCACAAATAAGATAAAATAATTAACACATAATAATAAAGAGATAATAGTTTCGGCACCGGGGAGAGAACTACCAAGCCCCTTCGGAGAAGCAACTTACCATCACCGGGAGATATTGTCTCGACTTCCACGCCCATGGTTCTGCGATACGTCGTCGAATTTTAGACGTGGAACATAAGTCCTTACCAGGCGAGTGTTTCCCCGTATGGCCGCTACCGTTACTCCTCGGTGTCCGCCGAAGGACAGCATGCAGTCGTCACCCGACTGCTGCCGAGAGCCTCCCAGCCAAGATATGGGAAAAGCGAGGAAGCAGATTTTTGGACTTCCACTGGTGGTGGGCTGTCACAAGATGGCGGCGCCACACTGCGGCGATGAGGAGTACTTTCTAGGCGGAGCAGTGGTTGCTTGCTGTGGATTTATGGGTGCTGTTTGAGATAAAATGTGAACAGCAGCATGTATAACAGGTCTCTGTTGGTGCTTACCGTTGAAATCCGCAACCATAGTCCACTTAAAAACGTGGAAATATGTTCGAAATGACCCTGAATTGCATTTAAACAGTTTTTCCCATAATACACTTCTCAGAGTGGTGGTCGTAAATTACTTCCGTGTTAATAAGGCGCCAACAACAGTCGGCAAATATGAAAATATTTTAAAATTTAATTATAGTTCATATGTGCTATAAAATGTTGTGTACACTGAGAATATTCCATGTCAAATTTGACTTAAGGGTGGTTTTCAGATTCAACATTAATGTGTACTGTACTATATATCTATACTGTATCTATACAGTGTCTCTCTCTCTCTCTGTCTCGCTCTCTCTCTCTCTCTCTCTCTCTCTCTCTCTCTCTCTCTCTCTCTCTCTCTCTCTCTCTCTCTAATAGAGACTGAAAATAAAAATAAAAATTTCCCATTTTCCCTGAAACATGGATCAAACATTAATTCAAATGTCAGACAGGCTATTAATACATATGTATCCGAAGTTTAATTTATACAATTATTCTGAGGACATTCTTTCAAATAAACTGCAGGAGTAACTCGTGAAATCAACTACGTTTCCAATAATGCACTTCTCTGGACAGTGCCCAGGCATTACTTCCGGGTTAAGGACGAGTCAACATTGATGGCTTGGTGTTGTTTCACCGGTAAAATGTGAAGTTACCCATGGCAACATTCACTGTAAGTGCTTCGCGAAACTTTACTCGACAAAATACGTGTTTTTTTTTCCAAAAATACTGTGTGTGTGTTTTTTTCCAGCCTGTTAAAGTCTTTCCGAGCTAAACATGGAGCCACGGCATGATAGTATGCTCACCCATGTGGCAAAATGTTAGATGTGTAAATAATGTAAAAGCGACAACGATGGACTGAAAAGTGTATGAAAAGTTATATTTGTTTGTCCTTCATGATTTAACAAAACGTATTTTGCATCACTACACACTAGAGTACAGTACTTGTTACATTAGATCTTGGGTTGTCTTATCCATTTTTTAAAAATAAAATTACCGGTATGATGGAAACTTTTCATTGGAATTAACAATAATAAACAAGGAATTTAGGATTGGCTGTTAACAGTGAACCTAAATATAGTTTAATAATTTATATCATAATCTTGATTATATTGACTAAAAATGCAACATTTCATGCAAGTACAGTACCTTGACTTGAGTAGGCCCATTTACAAGTTTTCCAAGTTACAAGGTAAATCTAGTTTATGAGTGATCTTTGAGGAGTAATCACTCCTCTCCATTCTGTTTGGAGGTAGTCTCTATTTATGCCTTGGATTTATTTCCCACTACTCCCCACAGGAAGTTTCCATTCAGGAATATTTTAACTTCACATGGAAATTTAAAGGAACGTTTTCCACCACCTTGATCCTACTTGTCTCCCTGAGCAATTCTGTTTGCGCCAGGATGACAAGATGTCTTATCCCCAATGTGTGATTAAGTGAGCGACGTCAGCGGCCTCGAGTCTTGAAAGGTCCCGAGAGTGTCGTGTTGAGGTCGTTGCGCTTTAATCGGCTATTCGTGCTCGTCACAGCACGCCCGGCTCAGGGGAGCAGATTAAGGTGCCTAATTGGAAGGAAACCCAGGAGAGAGCCTTTGCTGGTTATAATCTGCAAGGCGAGGACCTCCCGGCCGCTCAGATTGTTTTGTCGCTTTCTCACAGAGATGGACCTGGGCAAGGCCAAGCTGCTACGGAGCGGCATCAACACGCTGCACCAGGCCATCCACCCAGTGCACGGGGTAGCATGGACCGACGGCAAGCAGGTGTGCCTGACGACGCTCTACTTCCAACGCGGCGAGACCAAGTTTGGCGACACAAATGTCATCGGGCAGTTCGAACACGTCCTCGGGCTCTTCTGGGGCCCGCTGTGCTGCCCCGACTCACCCGCCTTGCTGGCCGTGCAGCATAAGAAGCATGTCAGCGTTTGGCAGCTGCAGCTGAGCGCGTTGGAGCATAACAAGCTGCTGTGCACACAGACCTGCGAAATGAGCGAGCCCTTCCCATTGCTCGCGCAAGGCTGCGTCTGGCACCCCAAACTGGACATTTTGGCCCTCCTGACCAAGCGGGACGCATCAGTGCTATTCTCAGTACGGGTGGACAACAGGAGGACCAAGGCGGATATTAAGGGAAGCGGGCTCATCCACTGTGCGTCTTGGACTAAAGACGGAACCCGTTTGGTGGTGGCGATCGGCACCGCGCTGCACTCCTACATTTGGAACGACATTCACAAAAGCCTCGTGGCTTGCTCCTTCTGCCCCATTTTTGACGTGGGGGGCTACATCTGTGCCACAGAGGCAACTGGAGACTCTCAGGTTGCCGTGGCGACAGAGCTGCCTTTGGAGAAGCTGTGTGGCTTGAACGCCGGCATGGCCTTCGAGGTGGACCCCTCGCGAGTCCAGACGCCAGAAATTGACTTCTCTCAGGATTCCAGACGGCTGTCATTTGACCTCGCGGAGAAGTCCCATACACCCACCTCGGGCCCCCTGGACCTCACCCACCTCCTGGCCCGGCACCGGCGCTCAGACCCCAGCCCACTTATTCACCTGCAGCGTAAGGACTCAGTAACGGGTTCCGGTCAGGACTCATCACACCTGGTGCTGATCACATACGAGCGCAAGGTGGTCACCACCCGCAAAGTCAGCATCCCCGGGATCCTAGTGCCGGATTTGGTGGCTTTCGACCCGCGTGCCTCCACTGTGGCCGTGGCGTCCAACACTTGTAACATGGTGCTGGTGTACCGTATCACGGCATCGGCCATGCCCAACATCCAGCAGATCTCGCTGCAGGCCACAGACAGGCCCAAGGGGGTCTGTTTTCTCAGCGACAAAGTGCTGCTCATGATGGTCGGCCGGCAGAAGTCAATGGACCCCGCCTTCCTCCCGTCCTCCAACACAGAAAAGTATATCCTGCGCTTGGTGGCCAAAGACTTCGATGGAGAGGGTGCCTCCTCCCATCTCAACGTAGAGCCTGCTGCTAATTTGTCACGGATTAGGAGGCACTCAGAGCACCTGCCCAAGGATGACAGGGAGCAGCTGGGGATAAAGGACTTGATTCTGCCCGGGAATGGAGTAGTACCCCGCTCACCCGGGAGTAGATGCAGGCTGGTGGAGGAGGTGAGGAGCCCCGAGTCCAGCTCTGCGGACTTCTCCGCCTCCTCGGAAAGAACCCCCTCCTGCGCCGTGGAGAACTTGGACGTCGGCCGCATGGCCAGCCTGGCGGTGGCCGGCCAGACCAGCAGGGACTCCAGCCGGGCTGGATCACCTCGGCCGGAGGTGGTACCGGAGCCAATGGTGGCCCCGCCGGGCGGATCCTCCCGGGAGAGAGCCCTGGAGCATCTGGTCTTCAACATGGAGCGGCTGTTCGCTCGCTTCGCAGATGTGCAGCAGTGCCTGGGCGAGATCCGAGAGTACGCCCAGAACGGCAAGAAGGTTGCGAGCTCCTACCCGGCTGCCGCTGAGCCCCCTTACATCAATGTCACATGTCAGGTACGTTCACATAAGAAAACTGCCTTGGTGGACTTTGTACTTTTTACTGTTTTGTAATTTGCTGTAAAATGCATCAGAGACTGTCTCTCCACTTTCCCTCATTGAAAGGGCATAACAGCAAATAAGTATACAATGGTGGCTTGACTTAACAAGCAGCGCTTGACTTTTTGCCTACGTTTTGGATCCCACAGAAGCAGTTGTCCGAGAACGTGTTTATTGACGAACGGCGTCCAATGCTCCTGTGTGATGGCAAGTTGTGTCTACGCGCCCTCCAGGAGCTTTTCAACCTCACCGTCGTGGAGATGCTGCATGGTACATACATCGATTGAATCCCTATCAAACTCAGTCCCATGTTTTTCACCCCATTGAGCATTTACATTATCAAGAGTCCTATAGTATGTGTTGCATCAGTTTAGCTGTACCCTAAACTTGAATAGTTAAAAATCTATATGCTCTGTAAAGCGCTTTGTTACAGCTGGAGCTATTGCGAAGGTGCTATATAAACAAAGATTTACAGTATTTTACATCCACTCAGATGGTCCATATGTCTCTTTTATTTCAAAATTTGCCCAGCCGTGGTCTAAACCATGTAAACACATCCATGGTTGTCATGCAGTTGAGCTATAATTGGATGTGATTAGCGGCCAAGGTCAGATTAGAAGCTTTCAAATGGAAGCAGCTTACTTTATGAGCATGTAACAGGCCTAAACCACAACGTGCTATTGAACATGCCACCCGGTGGTTTTGTTCATGCTCTTTCAGGCCCCCTGTGGATCGTCCTGGTGGCCGACTCCGACGGCTTCGTGCCCCTGACGTTCAATCCCAGAGCTGAGCTCACCGTACGTAACGGCAAGCGCAAATCCACTGTCCGCACTCCTGGGAGCCCCGAGATCTCCTGCCCGTCCAGTCCGGCCCCCTGCCACAACCCTACCAGCACCACCACCACCACCACTGAGGCCTCCACGTAGTTTATGGATTTAGACCACTTTGTTAATAAAGCAGTTTCAACAATTCACTTGCTGTTTCATTTTTTTGTTTTGGGGATAAAAACAAAAAGCCACAATTTCCTAGCATTCGTCAGATGCTGTGAAATATGCTCCTACTGGCGATGAGAAGTATCTTACGTTTTTTGTTATTTGTACAAATGTCTTCATCTTCAACAAAACATCTTCCACATAAATACAAATGAAATATAAAAGTAACATGAATATGTGTATTTATAGATGTATACGTGCCCTATTTATTAAACTGTGAACCCCTGCCACGATTGACACCACCCCAAAATGTGTGTGTACTGTAATAGGCTTTAGATGCCAGTCATGACTTGTATCTAAATAAAACTGCCGAACTCAATACAGTATCTCCCCAACTCACGTGTGTCGATGGTTGAAATACAAATGAGGCACCTATTTATTAAACTGTGAACCCCTGCCACGATTGAAACCACCCCAAAACGTGTGTGTACTGTAATAGGCTTTAGATGCCAGTGATGACTTGGATCAAATGAGGCGCTCTAATTAGTGCCTTGTATTGGTTCTGTCGTCTCATGACGTCAAACCGCAGATTGAAATTCGTTTACAGGTACGATCAAACACATCCAATATGGCGACGGTGTTGACGTAAAACTCCGTAGTTGTCGTGGTTTACTATTTCTCTGTTTCGTTTAACCGGGTGACTTCTTTTCCTGACGTGGCTCCGCCGAACTGGGGGTCACGTGTTAATCCGTGCGCCGCCGCGATAGGCTGGAACTAGAAAGTGTTTTGGGCTGACGTCCCCGCCCACTTGTGGCATGTCAACAGACAGGTGGCCATAGTCGTGGAGGAGTCGGGTCAACACCAGAAAGAAATTAAAAGGAAAAAGGAAGTCAAAACGAGGTGAGCACCAAAATTCGCCAGCATTCCCTGTTGTGGTTTTGACCAGTGGTGAGCAGTCAGGGTCAGCAAGGAGGTGCACCACCTTTGGTGCTCAACATTGAATATTTAAGTCTGTTTTAACAATACACTAATAATTGTCACAGTTTTATTTTATTATTTATAAATAATTACAATGAATTAACTTTTTTTATTAAAATACATTTTAAATGTTTAATGTCTATTATAGTTTTATTTGATTTTTACTTTATTAGACCCACTTAATATATTAACCAATTGTTTCATGGGAAAAAAAAATAAAGTCAAATGAAAATCAAAGTAGACATTACTTTTTTTTTTTGTCCAATTAGATTTTAGCCTCTGTGTTTTGGTTGTCATGACAATCTAATCTGCCATGGGCTATCGATGTGCTTGCCCAGAACCCTATCCAGCAAATAAATAGTGAGCCGAAACAGGACAAATAATGACATAACAAAGAAATAAGTAAACATAAAAATAATACTTATCATGAAGGCTGTTAAATTAGCAACATTTATACAAGTAACAGCCCACTTCCTGTATTATGCTCGAAAATATATCTTAAGGTATAAGTAGCCAATTTAGCCACTTATACACGTTCATACAATTTAATAAAGCATGTTTTTTTGCGTGTGATGGCTTTTATTAACTTTTGATTTTTGAGTTTCTGTCATGTTATATATAGATAGCGATATAGATGAGTATGAGCTGTTATGAATATCGATTGCGTACTGCTCTGCATGATGGATGTGACACTGTTGTGTGCTTGTTGTATTCTGTAGTTGTAAAGTATAGACGAGGGAGTGGGAGTACAGTATTTAAGAGATTTTTCTCCCCAAAGGTGATGCCTGAGCTGACGTTGTCTGCGGCTGTGCAACTAGTGCTCCTGCTGTCGGCCTTCCCGGCTCAGTACCTTATCCACAAATGGAGCGGCAACACGGCAGAGCAGCGTCTCCACGCGTCAGCACAGTAGGCAACGAACACGTACTTTCATTCTAACCTAATTGTGTTTTTAGTATCGTTTTAGTATCGGCCGTTGATAAATTATGTGGCATTTGCTGTACGACCTTGGCATTAAAAGTCTTTTGATGATGTTAAAAGGACTTGACTATCAGAGCTTAAAGTTGTACACCCCCACCCTCCAAAAAAAGAGGGGTTAGGATATTTAATAAGTTTGTATTTATGCCATTTTTATGCTTAGATTTTACCTCGGTGGTGAAGTTAAAAGATTGAGAGGTGTGACTAAATACTGACTTCCTGATTATTAGTGGCTCAATTTTCGTTGAGCTGCCTGTACCGGTTTCCCTACCCTTTCAGTGCAGGTAAAACTATTTTTCTACCTCCATGAGCCTATCCCAGCTGACTTTGAACGGAAGGCAGTCAACTGACCCTGAACTGGTCGCCAGTCAATCGCAGGGCGCATATAGAGACAAACAACCATTCACACCCACATCCACATTTAGTGATTTAAAAGCATTTACACTTGGGGTTAACTTCAATACTGTTGGCAGCTTACTTGTGTTTTTGTCTTTTACTTTTTAAGCAGTTTGTTTTTCTTTTTTTGGCTTCTACTTTTTACTCTTGTAAGTCTAGGTTTTTATGTGGATGTTGCACTTAAAAAAAAAAAAAATCTGAACCCCACCCCACTATCGGGTTTTCTTTGGCGGTGCTAATAATAAAAATGTCTTACTCAATTGTGTGGTGTTGCGTTCAAGGTTGGTTGAGGCGTGGAAAGAGTGGAGCAGTTCTTACTTCAGCGTTTCTGCGTGGAGCGAGTGGACCCAGCAGCAGCTTTCCAAAGTCCTGTGAGTACTCTGAGGAACAGCCCACATTTTCAACCTGTGAAGACATTGAATGTCCTCGTGGTCTTTCCATGCAGGTGGGTGCTCGGTATGAATACGGATAAGGATGACACATTGCTCACTATGGAAATCATGATGATTGACAACGATCAGGGATTCTTTGGAGGTTTGCGCCCATCAAGTGGTACCTTGATTTACGAGTGCCCAAACTCTCTCAAGTTTTTCCAACTTATGAGCCATCGCTTGAATATTTGTTGTGTTGGGAGCCAAAGTTTGAGTGAGTTTCAGTGGGAACTAGCTTCACAACATTCAGGCCACTATTAGTTCACATGGTTACATTGCAGTTAGTCATTTTTTTTCAATAAATCCATAAATATTTTCCATTCTGCCATGCCACCTTGAATGGAAATCCAATGACAATGTTTGTGTTTTTGTTACCGCAGCATCTAAGGCGGTGCGCAGTCCGCGGCCGCCTTACGTCTTCCTGAGGGTGGGCGAGGTCGTGATGGACCGCAAGGGCCACCGGATCGGCGTGGTAGTGAGCTGGGACAGCGAGATGCGGGCCCCCGCCGAGTGGGTGTATAAGATGTACAGCAACAGAAAGCAGGTCAGATGGTGTGACAACTGCGAAAAAAAAAGAAAAAAAAAAGTTTTAAACCAGAGGCAAAAAGGCAAAGTGATCGCATTCACATCCATGACACAGTATGTTTGGATAACCATTAGGGTGTCGCAGCCGAGAGGACTCCCCATTACAAAGTTCTGTTCAGTGGGTTCGGACCTAACCATGTAATCGTGGGCTACCTGCCTCAGACTCATCTCAAGCGTGTCACTGGAAAAAAAGTAGGAACACAAAAGTCGCCACACACCCAAAGAGAGTTTAGTCTTCTATTGACTGTGATGTGTTTACAGCCTAACATTCCCAGCTTGGACCACTACTTCAGTCATTTTGACGGCGAACGCTTCGTGCCGCAAACGTGGCTGAAAGAGATTTTCCCGGAGGACGACATTGACAATGCCTGAATGTCGTGGCTCACGAGACGAAAACGATGTTGATCGTGGTGATTTCACCAAGGGCTCATTTGAATGGATGGTGCCACACAGTACCGTGTACAAGTCTTAGCCACAATTGCCAATGTAAACAAACAGCAGCCATTTTCCAGTGTGCCATCCAAAGTGTTTTAAGTCAAATTTTAACAATTGTTATGACCTATGTGGTTGAGTCGGGTTAACTTGCTTCATGCGTTCATGAATAAGTTGACCACTGTTGATATTACCAAACAATACTCATCGGTCAAAATGGGCTGTTTAAACGTGAAAGATTAACAATGTAACTTCCTTGTTAGAAATGTAATTTCTTTCTAATTTAAAGACATTTAAAATGGCTTTTAATTTTTGTTCTCGTTTTTCAAAGGCGTCAATTTGACCCAACACATTCAGGAGGGTTGATAGCCCATTTTTATGCTGCTCTTTTAGTGTTGCGAGAAAAAAAAAAGACACGAAGAAAAAGCATCCCTGCGATGGGAGTTAATCCAGTTAATCCTTGCAAAATTGAGGTCGATTTTTTTTTCTAATTTCCAATTCCGAACTGTACCACTTCATGGTGATTTTGACTTCCATCGTAATTTGACACATACAAGTCCATCAATTATGGCTCTGTGATATTTACTTTTAATGGCAGCTTTACCACCGTCTTAGAAGCTGCTGACAATAGCATCATCTCTAAATGATGTCGCTTGACTTTTGCACAGTGCTGTACACGCACGGCTTTGAATGTATAATTATGAATGTATGGGTTCAACTAAATGACAATACAGGGAAACCCTGTTTATCGTAAGGGATATGTTTCGGGCTCCCCCGCCCTCGACCTTTATCGAGGGGTGCCTTGAGAACACTCAAATCTCAAATCATCTTTCCCCACTGAAATGAAATGAATGCCATTCATTTCTGTTCGGCTGTTATGGGCTTCCCAAAAATACCCAAGAGAAAAAATATATATTTTTTTTTTGCAGTGTATTTTTAATGAGGAAAACTGCACTCTGTAATATTGTTCTACAAAAACATTGTAACAAAATAATTAAACAGAATGTAAAAAAATTAAGCGGTTTGTGCATCATGATTTAATGCTTCGATTCCATTCATTGCACTGCTTCTTCTTGGCCACTTGGAGGCCACTGCGGATGTTCAGTAATAATAATAATCATAATAATAATAATACATTTTATTTATAAGTGCCTTTCAAGACACCGAAGGACACTTTACAATCAGGAACAAAAACAATAAAACACGGTACGGGTCGAGCAGCGGCCAGACGCGCCAGCGTTCACTCAACCCCGAAAGTCGGAAGAAACCACAAGGGAGGGAGAGGGGGGGAAAAAAAAACCACGCTCGAACTATCCTCATTTTGAGGATAGTTTGAGTTAGGCAAAAAAAACTCCTGCACAAGCATATGACAATTACAACAGGTCACAAGAAGTGAACAATGAAGGTGGTGATACGTCTGGTTGTGTGTGCGTGTCAGGCCTCAGCTGCTACGTCAAGGTCATGTCATGGAGACGGTCGTGGCTTATCAAACTATGGCCGAGAAGGAGGGGGTGATGGTAGGGCATTAGCTTCCATGCGTACTTTCATCAGGGGAAGGTCGAGATAGCAGATGTTGTTTTTGGTAGCAGGCAGCCCAAGAATTCCAGACAGCCTTGAAGTCCGTGGCTTGTGTCTCTCAAATGGCGTCGATCAGCCAAATCCGCAATTTCTTTCAATATTTGAGCACGAATTCCAGTTTCACCAAGTTGTTGCCCATCTTGCAGTGCCGTTCCAAAGCCGCATCAGTTTGCGGTTGAGCACAGTCTTGAGTATGAGTGTTGGACATCCGCACTTTGCCATCCTTAGACCGGCAGCCTCTTCCAATAGAGCCGCTCCCGTCGGTTGAATTTTTCGATAGATCAGGAAACTGCTAGCGCCAAACAGCAGCATACCTGTTATCAGAAGGCCGATCATGTAGATGTCTTCCACATCCTCAACGGACAGTGTTGACAGGCACACCATTCTCCACCTCCTCCAGGGATCGAGGGTGTACCCAGCAGCAAAAGTCCCCGAGGGGCAAGTAGGCTCCCCACTGCCTGCTCTTCTCGTCGAGAAAATTTTGTCGATGGCATCGAGAGACCAGCCAACTAGTTCCATGTTTGTTTTTAGGATGAAAATACGACAGGAGGCTAGGAAAGTTAGACAAAAGACAGCACATGGATTGAGTGGCGAGCAGGGGGGGTGGGGGTGGGGGACAGGAGCAGAAAGCAAAAGCGTCCGCCTTCGTCGAGAGCCAAGCAAGAATGTAAGTACCGCTTATTTTTCAGTCCGATACCAGTCCAAGTGGTCACTCTTTCCTTGAGTACTTTTGAAATAAAAAAAGTCCTTTCTTTCATGGTATAGTGCCAACTACTGACGAGAAGAAATTAAGTCAGATATTTTAGCCTTAACTATCGGCGGGTATCGGCAGCTTCCACGAGAACCCGATTCCATAAAGATCAGTATCGCCCAATACCGACACCTGATATTGTTACTCCCCCATCTGTACAGATCTATCCATACAAACAAATTTCTTCTACTCCAGTACTTCTTAGTATTTTTTCCTATTTCCATCACGCATCCGGAAGTAGACGGACACCCGCGAGAAGGCGGTGACGCTTGGTATGCGGGGAAGAGGGGCGGCCTGGGTGGAGGCGGCCTCTTGGCCCCGCCTTCCTCCACCCCCATCTTCCTCCTCACCCTCATCCTGGGTCCTCCACTCTCGCATCTCCTCCTCTTGCACCAGGGTGGGCGCCCCCAGGCTTTGCCCCAGTAGCTGGCTAACTCTGCTGGCCTTCTGCTGGGCATTCTCCACCGCAGAGACACATGCACTCTGCCTACACACACACACACACACACACACACACACACACACACACACACACACACACACACGGTATCAAACTGTGGCGAATGAATACTTTCTTACTCTAATAATGTACATTTTACAGCCCTATATCTGTAATTGAGTATTTACTTTTAACTTTTGAAAACATATGGAGATAAAATCTATGAGTTACAAAATGGTTACCTGATAAGGTTCAGGCATTCTGCGCTGTGGAAAAATCGAGGTCGTCCAACTGAGACGCTCCTGTCCAGTTTCTCCAGCAGGACGCTGCAGGACTGCTCCATTTTGTCAAAATCAGAGAAGGTGACAGTCACCTAAAAGAAAAGAAGTGCCATCAACCTTTGGCACGCCTGCATAATCTCATGACAGCGCCCCATTTTTCACACAACGTATGCTCAATAGACTGGCAATTGACTTGGAGCCTAGACATTGATTTACCTTAGAAAAGTGCGCTTACCATAATGCTAACAATGCAAATTGCCATACACAGGTTTATGAAAGACATCAGTGTCATGTAGCTTAATAAAGGTAACCAAAGCGCAAACTACAACCATTACAATAACCATATTGTGGATCTGTAACGAAATGGTACTCTACCTCTGCATTCATGTGATACACTTCATCATCCCGGTGGAGGAATTTCCTCACAGTGATGTCGTCTTCTCTGACTCCATGTTGTCTAGTAATCAAGAAAACATTCAATGTTACGCCACATAGGTTCGATACTTAAGGGCTACTGTTCAGACTTTGGGCGAAAGGTGGGCTAAACCCCTGACCGGTCACCAGTCAATCGTACGGTACAAATAGACAAAACAAGCATTCACACCGACGGACAATTAGAGTTCTCAGTGATGCTAACATGTTAGTGCAAAATGTGTGAGGCATTTTAAAAATGTTTTTAATCGCACCTGACAGCTTGCAAAATGTATTCCAACCGTCGTGACACGCTGCTGGTGACCTCGTTGACCGTCGCCTTGCTGTTGCCCACGCTGAGCCGGACCGACGCTCTGTCGGCCGGGTAGCTAACCTCGGCCGTCCCGGTCACCTGGAGCTCCCTCGCCTGACTCCCAGCGGGGCTCTGTCTATTCCCAGCCCGTGTCTCCGCAACCCCTTGCTCGGTTTCGATGACGGCAAAGGGGCTGACAGTGGACGTAGGCTGTGTCCCACCGGGGAGTAGTCGAATCCTGCTGTCCATTGCTATTGCTAATCGTCAAGCTGGCTTCCTGCTACCATGGCAATGGGGTGAACTGCATGATGGGATATGTAGTTTACTTTCGCCAGCACTCACCAGTCTTAAATTCCTACATTTAATATTCAGCATCTTTAGTGAGAACGATGTACTTTCTTTTAATGTTTTATGTTTTTGTCATGTTATGAGATAAAATTGATTCTGAACTGAACACATCATTGCAGTCAAATTATTACAACAGAGCATCAACAGTACATACCTTAATACCTTCTAAAATAAATATTAAACAAATAAAGACATGTTCTTATTTTTAGATGAGTGTATTTGACAAGAGTAACACAAATTAAGCACTCACTTTTGTGACAGCATTGCTCCATATTTTTTTTCACACCACAACTCATAAATTTGTCATCTTGTTGTTCTACTTCTTCCATTCATAACTTTGCTGCTGTGAATTGGGAATTTCTCCATTGCGAGACTAATAAAGGTTTTCTTATCTTATCTTATCTTATCTTATCTAACAAGCAATACTCTGGAATCCTAAAAATTACTTTTCTACATCAGTGCAATGCGTCATAGTTGCTTTTCTAGTGACTGTCGTTTGTTTTTTATCAGGTAATAAATAGCAGATTACCGAAACTCAGTACACATTTGAATAGCACAACAAAATGGTCATGTAACAATATAGAGCGCTATATTGTGCTACATAAAGGTGTGATTCCAACCACAGGCTCATTCCACTCATCATGAAAAATGACATAAAAGCAATCACGAAGGAGGGTTTTATTGCAGGGCTCTTGGCATCAGAATAATAATCAGATGGGAATGTACACAATCTCAATCCCGAGACTTGATCTGACACGTGTACACCGCATTGGTCTGATTGTCTCAGCACCAAATATATTGCCCACAGTTATTTATATTGTCCTCAATCCACACTGATTGTCCAACATCGATCGGAGATGAAATAAAATGGGGGTAAAAAAAGGAAAACTTCCGGATTGCACAATATTTCCCTTTTGAGCAAGTTTAATATCACATTCTATCTATCGAGGGAACGACACACACACAGAGAAGTAGGTGAAGAATGCTACGTGGAGATCACAGCTATCTTTTTTAAAAAAAATACACATTAATTTTTCATAGCTTTGTGGCTTATTCTTGACTCTCCTCATCTCTCTTCCTCACCAAAGTAACCAAACATCAAGCCCTCGCCGCCTTATAGTGTCGTAATACTCTCACATGATTCATAAATAATAAATAACAGTATTGCAGAGCAACGAGACACAGCAAGGAAAGAGGGGGGGAAATAAAACCCCGTTATACATTCATTTGTATAAATACTCATATTATTATATCATTGCTATACAGTACATGTTGAAACAAAAAAACGTTCACGGTCAAAAACAAATCAAATCCCAGTGTAATATACACCAATGGCACCAATAAATTTCCCAGCATGCACCGCTGGAATATGTGTCCGGCGTCCGGAATTTTTTTTCCAATTCACATCACGCCCAAGTCATCTGAACTTCTGGAAGCACTGCTTTGTTTCCTGTGTTTTATATTAAAAAAAAAGAAATACACGTTTGAAGAATTAAATTGCTGCCATGCTCCAAGACCTTATCTAACACCTTGCTTCAAACCAAAATCACAGACTTTTTTGTAGGTCGACTCACGGTAAACATGCCTACCACGTTTCATGCTACTGAGAGAAACTTGATTGTGACTCACCGCAGCTCATCCAAGTGTAGTTTATTGCGCAGTCGCACTTTTTCTGTGATGGGGTATAAGAGCAGGATCATGAGGCCTGTGATGATGAAGGCCACTGGAGCGGCACCGATGAGCAGTTTGAGCGTGAACACCACAGCCACCGGCTGCTTGCAGGCCCCGTTTTCATACCCTGCAAACCTGGGGATGAGTGAAAAAAATTGGGTTGAAGCAAAACAAAATGGAACACTTCCTCTATGTTTTGGGGCATAGATTTGTATGATTTTTTTGTGTGTCTGTTCATGAAACGCATGATGGTGACTTACTCCAGGCACAGAGTGGACACGCCCAGCGAGACGGCGGCGGCGAACTTGGTGAAGAAGACGTAGAAGGAGTAGAAGATGGCCTCATGACCTTTGCAGTACGGGTTGGCCAGCCGAAAGTCGTCCACCACGTCCGGAAGCATGGACCTGCCATCATATTTGCTTTCAAAACGGCAGCTTTGACGCAGACGCTGTACCATTTGAATGGAGACTCACCAGGGCAGAAGGAGCGAGGCGGCGACGCTGAGTCCAGAAGACACGGCCACCACGTACGCCACCACCACGTTGGGGATGAACACCAGCATCATTGTGAAGGGCATGATCCACTGGAGGGACAAAGATTGACCTCAAATGAGTTTTTGGTCACGTCAGGTGCAGAAAATAGCCACAAGATGGCACTCACCACTTCCAAATCGCAGTTGTATTAATAATATTAATCGTAACACAAACGTGAGGATAGGCTCACCGTGATGCCGCAAAAAGCTGCTGTCTTCTTCCCAAACTTCTGCAGGAACCACTGCCACAGAGGAATGCTTACTACTGCAGACACCTGACAGCACACAAAATAGACACATGAAAAAAAAAAAAAACAACCATAACACACACAAGTAACAACAGCGACACATAAGTTACAACTAAATTAACAACCATAAATTCCAAAAGCAAAAACTGTCAAATGCAAAAAAAAAAAAAAAAAACTGTCAAATGCATAAATAACAAGTGGCAACTCACCAGGATGGTCAGCACGATATTCTGGAAGTGTTCCCTCAGGTCGGCCGCGTATGTGCAGAAGAGGACAAAATTGTTCTGCACCAGCTGCACACAACAAGCAAGAAGGAGTCACACGAGATAGCAGCACCAAACGTAACAGAAATAGAAAGCGGGATTTGCTCTCCATTGATCCGCTGACCGGGCCCGGGACCCATTAGCATCGATCGGGCCGGCGTTTTTTTTTTTTTACCTGAATGGCCACCAGGATGAAGAGGAAGGCGGCGGTGAGAATGAGGTATGGCCCGTGACGCATCACCATGATGAAGCCGCGGTGGAACGGAATCTGCTTCTCCGTCTTTGGTGCGTATGGATCTAGATAAGAATCAGGACAGCACATGTCTGATTATTTTTGTGAACATATACTTTTTCTGATGAAATACAATCGAACCTTGTTACAACGTGGCTCGAGGGGCATCACGAATTTGTATGTTGTAACGGTAGTTCCTCGAAACTATTTCTAATAAAATGGCTGCCAACTACGATGTATCTGTGCTGTATGTTGTACATAGAGCATATTTGACAAGAAAGATGACCTTGACCTTGATAATCAGATCAATTACAAATAATGAAGAAAAAAATTCAGTCGGCAAATGAAAAGCGCCGTCTTCAGTTCAGGATGTGCCGCGCCCAGAAGCCGTTTACGATCATCTTTCAATTTGTTGGCCTCGAACTCTGCCATGATTATTTTGCCATTACGGATGATTGTCGAAGTCGTTGAATTTGCCAATTTGTAGTCTCGGCTGAGGTTTGTCTGGGTGACTCCCTTTCTAAAGTGAGAGACAATTTCAGCCTTCACAGACAGCGAGATTTACTCCCGTTTAGCAGACATGTGTTCAGGATCACGCCGTGCCTCCGGAAGTACAACAAAGTACAAGTCGATCAGTAAAGTTGCTAAGAAACGCAGGGGAATCCCGCACTGTGCATTTTGTTCATAAGCATTGTCGCGGCGGCAGTTAGCTTCCCGCAGTTCGCTGTAACGAAGGCATTTTCACAATTTTGTGGGAAAAATTTGGTTGTTATAATGAAGTTTACGTTAAAAAGGTGTCTGCTTAGTTAGTTATCTGCTTAGTAAGTCATCTTGGTACTTCGTTACAGTATTTACTTGCTGCTTAGCTCCTTAGCATATGCTGTTGGTAGCTGGGTATCTGCTAAGGTCAGCTATTTAGCTTTCAATCAGGTTAGCTGGTTATTTAATTGTTCTGTTTCTGTGATGCAAATGTTAGTTAGTTAGTTTTCAGGCCTCACCATCTTTTTCTTTGACTCCCAAGAACATGACCACGGTGCATACCAGGAAGATTCCCCCGATGACACCCGCAGCGATCATGTAAACTTCCTTCTGCAACCAGAAAAAAATAAAGACGGCATCATTTTCTCCATTTTAATCAGTGTAATGTCCTAAAAAAAAAAAGACATCCTAATCTTCTCGCCGCCTTTTGGATAGTTGTGTTGCAGTGTTGCACAACTGTATTCTGCTTTCCCCTTGCAGAATACAGTTGTGAACAAATCGGAACAGCAATTCAGAGGCCAAAAATAGCGCCCCTCTGCTCTTTAGTGCATTTGTTTGCTTCGCTTTCCGGCCATCATTATTTGCCTTTGCCCAAACCACCGAGGAGGCTTCAACCAAAGTGTGTCGGAAAGAACAAGCCAGGCCCAAATAGCTGCGGCCAAAAACCAAAATCCCAACATGCGACCTATCACATTACTTTTCCACCCTAAAGTACCACACAAACACTAATATTCGCGACACAAGCCGCCTGCATGTGTTTCTGCTTGGATAAAAACAGTCTCTTCGTCACAACCAAATCACAGCCACTTTACTCTAACAGCAAGAACACCATTGATTATGTGAACAAAAGATGATCGGAGAGATTTATTCTTGCTATACAGTGAAAAGCAAAATTTCAGGTTCAGCCCTACAACATTCACAAGCATTTTCGACCCTAATGGCATTCTTTCATACTGGAATGTTGTTTTTCCTTACAGCATGTGACATATATTCTTCAGAGCGCACCAAACTCCGAATCACATCGGCCCCACCGCTGTTGTTGAATGCATTTATGGTGCTGTTGTGGCCCTGGCAGTGTTTGAGTCTGTGGGCACTGGCCACGATCTGGCCCTGGATGGCGGCACCGGCCAGGGTTCCCAACACCTCCAGAGTCATCCCTGGCAGTAAAAAAGGTACAGTTATTCCATCATTCCCAAATGATCAACAAATGACTGACAGGTAGGAAGGAGCTTACGATAGGCGGTAGCCGAGTCGCGCTCCCGCTGGTCTGTGCTCAGGAACATGGTGAGAGCGGAATAAGGCACGTGGTAGCACTACCGGGGAAAGAAAAAGAAGCTGATTACAGCGCAGGAAGACGCACAGATCATAAAAATTGGCAAGAATTCCCCCCCCCCCCCCCACACACAACCCACAACAAC